CAGAGACACTAGCTGGAACACCTCAGCAAGCGAGAGTCCAAAAGTGGCAGGCTCAACCCCAGAACCTCAACCCATGCCTGATACCAAATGAGAGACTCCCCCCTGGGCACACAGAGGACTGGGCGACTTGGAAGGCGCTGAACAAACTGGCACCACGAGATGCAGAGCCAACCTCAAGTAATGGGGCCACAAAGTGGAATCCATGACATGCGAGTGTGGAGAAGAGCAAACCACTGATCACCTGCTGCAATGCAACCTGAGCCCTGCCACATGATGCACCATGGAGGACCTTCTTGCGGCAACACCAGAGGCACTCCAAGGGGCCAGATACCGGTCAAAGGACATTTAAGAGAATGCCAAGCTTGCAAACTTTGTGTTTTGTCTGTTTGTTTTGTTAAAAATGTAATACAACTGCCTGGTTGTTCCTGACACGATAAAGAAATACTGATTTATCAAAATATAGGAGCTTGTTTGCAAAAGACATTTATTTGAAAACTTACCAAAATACGACACCAATGGGATAAAAGCGCTTAAAGAAGAAATCCAGCGTTCAGTCGAAACCTCCTAAAATGGAGAAAGGAAAACAACGTGAGAATATGTTGGCTGAAGGTACAGAAGTGATGAAACCACTGGAAATGCTGAATGGATTAATCCGTAGTGCCAATTTATTTGACTTGTATACCGACACTCCCAATGTGGCTCGGAGCGGTTTACAGCAGAAGATTAAGACAATACAATTAACTGTAAAATACAATAAAAACAAGAACAGACATAGTCCCGAGTTATTCACCCATCGAAAGCTTGTCGGAAGAGAAAGGTCTTACAGGCTTTCCGAAAAGGAAGTAGCTCTCGGATGGTTCGGGTTCCAACTGGCAAGGCATTCCATAAATAAGGGGCCACGATCGAGAAGGCTCTGCCTAGTCGAGGACAGATGATAAGTCCGGATGTTGGGGACTTCAAGCAAATTTTGGTCCTCGGACCGAAGTAATCTCTGGGGTTGGTAGGGGGATAAGCGGGCCCTCAGGTACGCCGGCCCCAGACCATAGAAGGCCTTAAAGGTTAGTACCAGCACCTTGAAAGTGGTCCGGTACTCAATCGGAAGCCAGTGCAGCGGTTGTAGAATTGGGGTGATACGACACCTCGCCGGCATTCCGGGGAGAAGACGAGATGCCGCATTTTGCACCAGCTTCAGTTTCCGGATTACTGACAAAGGAAGGCCAATGTAGAGGGCGTTACAGTAGTCAAGCCTCGAGATGACCGTAGCCTGGATCACCGTAGCCTGGTCGTTCCTAGATAGGAAGGGAGCCAGTCGCCTAGCCTGACGTAGGTGGAAAAACGCAGATCTGTCCACCGCAGAGACCTGGGCCTCCATTGTGAGCAGCAGAGGGTCCAATGAGACACCAAGGCTTCTTACAGAAGGGGACGGACGTAGTGTCTCGCCATCCAGGGTAGGCAGCTGGACCTCCCTCCCACCCGGACGAACCAGCTGGGTTCACCCTCAACCTGCTGGCACGCAACCATCCAGTCACGGCCTCAAAGCACTGATGGAAATTTCCGGGTACGGAGTCTGGCCGGCCCTCCGTCCTCAGAATGAGCTGAGTGTCGTCAGCGTACTGGTGGCATTCAAGCCCAGAGCTCCGCACCAGTCGGGCAAGCGGCCGCATATAGATGTTAAATAATAGAGGAGAGAGAATAGCTCCCTGCGGGAACCCACAAGTTAGCGGAGATCTCTCGGAAACCATCCCTCCCCTCACCACACGCTGTCCCCGATTCTGGAAGAAGGAGGACACCCATTTAAGGGGAATCCCCCTCACCCCAGTCAGGGCTAGGCGGTGGGTCAATAGATTGTGACTGACCGTGTCAAATGCTGCTGTGAGGTCCAATAACACGAGCAGCGCTGATCCGCCTTGATCCATCTGGCAGCGAAGCTGATCTGTGTTATCTTCCTACGGAAGCCGGACTGGAAGGGATCGAGTCCGGCCGTGTCATTTAGGAACTGCTGCAACTGCTCCGCTCCTGCCCTCTCAACCATCTTGCCCAGGAACGGAAGGTTCGAGACTGGGAGGTAGCTAGAGGGAACCGAACGATCTAATTTTGGTTTCTTCAGCAGCGGAGACACCATCGCCTCTTTTAAACCCTCTGGAAAAACTCCTTGCTCAAGGGAGCT